TCCCTGTCCCCTCCCCGTCCCCTCCGGGGCTCCAGCCTCAGGCCCGGCCGTCCCCGCCGCTCGCCACCATCGCTCCCAAGGGTGACGAGGACCTGCTGGCGCTGGCCGCGTCGCGGCTGAGCCGCAGGAAGCGAGTGGCCGGCGTGGCCATCGGCGTGGCCATGCTGCTGGTGCTGCTGGTGGCCATCCCGCTGCTGGTGCACGGCTCCAAGGCGGCCGCGCACTACGAGATGCTGGGCAGCTGCCGCATGGTCTGCGACCCCTACCCCGAGCTGGCCCCCGCCTCGCCACCGCCCTTCCTGCCCGGAGCCAAGGGCGAGCCCGGCCGCAAGGGCCGCTCCGGCCTCCGGGGGCCACCGGGACCACCGGGCCCGCGGGGACCACCGGGAGAACCGGGCCGGCCGGGGCCACCGGGACCACCGGGGCCGGGGCCGGGCGGGTACATCCCGTCCTTCTACAGCCCCAAAATCGCTTTTTACGCCGGGCTGAGGAAGCCGCACGAGGGTTACGAGGTTCTGCGCTTCGACGACGTCGTGACCAACGTGGGCAACTACTACGAGCCCTCGAGTGGCAAATTCACCTGTCCCCTGCCCGGCATTTACTTCTTCACCTACCACGTCCTGATGCGCGGCGGGGACGGCACCAGCATGTGGGCCGACCTCATGAAGAACGGGCAGGTAACGAACGGGGACCCCCCGAGACCCCCGGGGACCCCCCCCGAGGATCCCCCCGAGACCCCAGCCCGGATCTCACCCCTGGATTTCAACCCCACTTTTCACCCCTGGATTTCACCCCCCGGATTTCAGCTCCAGGTTTCATTTCCCGGTTTTCACCCCTCGGATTTCAGCCTCGGTTTTTACCCCCTCGGTTTTCACTCCCTGGGTCATCCTCGGATTTCATCCCCAGGTTTCACCTCCCCGATTTTCACCCCCTGGTTTTCCTTCCCGGATTTCACCCTCAGTTTTCAGCCCCCGTTTTCATTCCCGGATCTCATCCCTGCATTTCAGCCTCGATTTTTGCCCCCATTTTCATTCCCGATTTTCACCCCCTGGATTTCGTTCCCGGTTTTTCCCCGCCGGATTTCACTCCCGGTTCCCCCCCTTGTTTTCATTCCCGGTTTTCAGCGGCCTCGGGGTTGTTGTTTTGGCCCAGCTCGGTTTTGCTGGTTTGGTTTGGGGAATTTCAGGTTCTCATCCGGGTTCCATCCGTTCGTGATTTTCCATCCTCAGCTCTGCTCCATCCCAAATTCCCCCCCCCCCAGATTTCCATCCTGCTTCCCCCAATCCCTCATTCCCCATCCCCAGTTCCTCCCCAGTCCCATTTTCCCCATCCCATCCTCCCCCCCAATCCCTGATTTCCCATTCCCAGTTTTCCCACATCCCATTTCCCCCCTCCCAATCCCCTCCATCCCTGATTCATCCACCCCAGCGGCCCCATTCCCATTTTCTCCATCCAATCCCCTCCAGTTCCCATCCTGCTTCCCCAATCCCTGATTCCCTGCTCCATCCCAAATCCCCACATTCCATTTTCCTCATCCCAATTCCCACCCTCCTCCCCCTCATCCCTAATTTCCCATTCCCAGTTCCTCCACCCTGCCCAGTCCCCACATCCCATTTCCCCCATCCAATCCCTCCCAAAATTCCCATCATTTTCCCCATTCCTGATTCCCCGTTCCCAGTTCTGTTCCTTCCCCGTCCCTACATCCCATTTTCCTCATCCAATTCTCTCTCAAATTCCCATCCTTTCCCTC